CTATTTAACATCGTCACTTCCAGAGTTAATTAATGCTCTATTACAAAATGTCTATCTGACATATTCACCTGATTGAATGCATTATGAACCTTCTGTATTCATTCATTAACACAGCTTACGTAAGCACACTGAATATAAACATTGCTGATCTATTCGAGCCAATGTTCGCAGTGATAACATGTCGGTTACTATTCCTATATTACTTGTATTTCGTATTTTTATTATAATTTTTTAATAATATAGTGACTAAATATATTGAAAAAGTTTGAACATTAAAAATAGGGGCATGCTGTATATCTGCAGTTATTGTGTTGGAATGGTCTTTCAATTTTGCACTGTATCAATGAGGTATCAGAAAGGTAGTATACTATCACTATATTTTATTCGAAATAATGTTGTTATTGATGGTGCATTGAATGACGGTCCATTGTTGTCCGATATGTGAACTTAATTTTGTGTGAAAATGACGTCTGAAGGAGTTAATTAAAAAGAATACATTCTTATCGTATCGTGGTGAATCGATCATCAGTTGAACAATGTTTTGCTCAATGAAAACATTGTTATACCCGTCATTTTTTCTGCACTAAAAGTGCCAATTCTACTGAAACGATTCATTCGAGCAATTGTATCGAAAAATATACAATGGAATATTATAAAACGTGTATGTATATATTATACATAATATGTAAAATTCATTTAGAGAAGTGGAATTCAATGTTTCTTAAGGACGAGAAACAAAATCATTATTTTAAACCCATCTGCTATAGTATTGAGTCAGACTCGTGATGAAAATTTTAAACTAAATTCAACAAATCTAAATATTATTCACATATTTTTAGCATAAGTTAAATATTATTTGTTTATAAATCTTTCATTCTTAGAGTAAACGTAGACATAGAATAAGTTTAAATTTGTTTCTTTTTCTATCAAAATATAAGGTAATTTCCTTAAACATAGTTATGAAAGAAATCATAGGAGAAGAGGTTAAAAGTAGTTACCAAGTGCGAAGGGTTAACATTGCATTTCAATTCGTGTATATACATACACACGGCATCAAGCCCGAAAGAAATTCAACGAAAAAAATGAATGTGATTCGCAGTTGCCCCTCTGGCAGAAGGAAATTAAGAGAGCGTATACTCCATCGCAGATTTCACGAAATGTATTCGGTAAATTCGATACAATTTTTGTCGACGTTGAAATCAGAACGACTCGAAATTAAATTTTTTTATACGATGCTGAACGCTTTACAATGAAACACCTTTTATCGTATGAAATGACGGCAGACAATCTATATATTAGGGTTGATGTAACTTTAAAAATTAGGTAAAAGGAGGTTAATTTATCGAGGATCGCATGAATAACTTGAAAAATTATATAAAAAGAAGTTAATTTATCGAAGATCACATAAATAGGAAAATTGTCCGGATTACAGGACGACGACAATTCTGGTTTGATCGAAAGCACTACGTGCTCGCATGTACGTTTCTTTTCCTCCCCCATATCAACTGCTTATTCAATTTCATCGAACAGTCTGCGAAGGTGTGGAACTGCACGGGTAGACGGACGGGTGGATATACAAATAGAAAGAAACGCGATGGAGACAGGAGCGCAAACAGCGCAAGCTATTAACCCCTGCCGTACCGCCTCTGGGTCCGTTTGGACCCTGAGCTGGTGATTATTATTTTTTCTTGCAATCATCGTATTGTTCAATTGTTTAGTTAACATAATATTCTTTAGCAATAAAAGACAATAAAATACGAAATATATAGAAGAAAGAGAATTTTATTCGTAATAAATAATATTTTTTCACACAATTTGTAATAAAACAGTGTATCAAAACCAAATTGCACGCACAATATATACATTCGGATACATTTATCTGTACAACACACTTTTTGGAACATTCTTTCGTCACTGTGAATTAACTTCACGTACACTTGGAATATAGATTTATTTACAATGAACATAAAAATCAATATTTCAGAAAATCAATTAGTCTTGAATATTCCAACGTGTTGAACATTTATTCGTATCGCACACGCACACTCGCTATTAACCGAAAAATCGCAGGTACTGCAAGGGTTAATACAAACGCGTATCGAGAAAAATTGAAACGAGGAGAAAAATTCTACAATAGCGGTTATAATGAGATGCCGAATGTATTAGTAATTTACATAATAATTTAATAGGCTGAGTTTTAAATTTTGAAATAATTCCGAATGGAACGGGAGATGCAGTCCAATTCAGAAGTTGGACACATAATTTATGCCGCATCCGTTATATTATTCCTAATTTTGGGTTGAGTTATTAACCCTAGAAATGAATCTCTCTCTCTCTCTCTCTCTCTCTACATTTTTTCCAATTTTAAAGTGAAATGGTCAATAAATTAATTTAATAAATATTTTAGATAAATTTCCCTATTAAAGAATGTACTTCAATACTTCCCCATTTCAATGCAAACATTCCATGCTTTTAGGCTTTCAATTTTCGTCAGTTGTCATAACGTATACAGTCTATTGTTTGAATAATTATAATACTCTGTGTAATTTGCAAATGTTTACGATAAATAAAAAATTTATCTAATCGACATACATATAATAGTCTAATGATGATTGCAAAACGTTTTAAATTGACATAAATTTGACGTAAAGGTCAAGCAAGGGTAAAGCTTCCATTACCAAGTAATATCTTGTATAATTTTCATTTCTCTAAAGGAATTTCATTTCTATAAAATTCTACAATTAGAATTCTTGCCATAGCTCCAAGTTTCAACATTGAGCTTACCATACATTTCAGCTCACCACGCATGCAAATAAACCATTTGTTTAAGCTGAAGCTAATTCCATTAGTGTTCAAAATTGTTTCAAAATCTTACTACCCGCGTAATCATACGATGAACCATACGTGTTCATTAGAGCGGTTACAGCGTTGAATCGCAAAATGAAACTTACGAAACAAATTGAACGCGGGAGACTGTATAATATCCAGAGAATATTGTTACACTTCGGATTCGTAATGTGAACAGCGCGCATCTCGCGTAAACAAATTAGAGGTACTGGCTTCAATCCGACCAAGCTATATAAATACATAGCTTATATTATAATGGAATAACGCAATTACATGCGGCTTGGCCTACCGAAAATTCATCGAGCATGTGTTATTTATCTGCAAATTTACCGCGTTAACTCGCAATACGCGTTCCCGTCGAACAGTGCATTAATATCCGCGAATCAATTGAATCAGTAACGCGGCCGGTTAAGCTCTATCACTGGCGTATTACTGACTTTCTCGGTGCGTGATTAAAATCATATATGTATACACAGGTATACGACTACGACAGCATTGCACCGGAAGCGTGTTCACTTTGCTTGCAAGCCTCGCAGGAAATGGCATTCGCATTCCACGGGAACAGGTTAAACGTAACCGAAGACCCTCTTGCCAGTAACATAAAATCAGATATCAAATATTTTCTCAAGTGGAAACAATAACCGCATCCGTCGAAAAAAGCATTAGAGATGCACATGTTATTAAAACTTATTTACATTTTACAAGGCATTTCGTTTGCAACGATTTCATGGAATATTATTCTACGTATTCCGCCTTTTTCCGTGTAATTAATTTTTTAACCCAAAACGTAACAACACTTTGTCTATACTTATTTCTATCTTAATCATTCAAATAAGTGGTTATAGAATAAAAGTAAACATGTTAGACGACAAATTTCGAACTGGAAACAGAAACAGAAGGAAACATGAAAATTGGAAAACTGAATACTCGAGCAATGTCGAAAACGATGTAAAGTTAAATGAATGGAATAAAATACAATATGTGTTTAAAAGTGTTCATGAAAATTCAAAATATTATCAGAATGATGGGTTTGTAAATAAAACCTGTTTAAAGAAACTGTTCATTTATAAACATTTAATATTATAATAAATATATTTACGTATTATCTACAATAAATGTATTTTTGTAATTTTTGAAAGGTTATTTTAAAGGTTATAAAATTTAAGCTTCTATCTTCATTTTATATCCATTTTAAAGAATTCTTCTGAATTCTTGAATTCAAAGATTCAACAATACTATTTGTCACATAACATTAAACGAAGTAATGTATTTTTACAATTTTTACGTCCTTAATAAAATAAGAGACTCTCATCGCACAGTTTACCCTAGTTCTCTAACATTTCATTTTTAAAGGTGATGTATTTTTAATAACTGCAACTGCAATTCTTTTTTCAAAAATGAAACAGGAATACCAATCCCTTTTTGTGGTACTGTAAATGAAAAACTGAGTTGAACCGTTGAAGAATAAAAGCTGACAATGAATTTATAGGAAAGCGAAAGAAGCTTTTCCGCTTTGACTAATATGAACGTTATGAGACAAACATGAGGCAGGGAGAAACTTATATGCGCCGCGGTAAGAAAGGTGGAAAGAGAACAGATCGAGGCGGCGGATAGTTTTTTTTCTCGGGGGCACTATACAAGCTTGCATGTTTACATAATATATTTACACAATGCCGGGCATAATACATGGATCCACGATACATTATTCCGCTGTTCCTTTGGAAAAACTTAAGACTGACAGCTGTGAAATATTTGACGCGCTAGACACGAAGGAGTGTAAATAATGTTCCATTATAAGAATTGTGGTTGACTGGAAACATACTGTATAATATACAGAATATTCAATAGATGAGCAACATTAAATAACTAACAATATTAATAGAAAACTTGTCGGCAGTCTTATTTTCACGCACCAAAAAATAAAATCAAGAGGGGCGTCGATCGTTTCTGTTTTTCATAAAAACAGAAAGTTTATTACCCTGCTCTTAACTAACTAACAACAAATCGCTTAACATTGACTCACGTCGTCGAAATATAACAATAATTGTACTTAGAGATTACTTAATTCAGTATACCTGGAACGATTAATCATTCGGAATACAACGTTAGCAAAGATTCATCTTTCGCAATCCATAATCAGTCTTGACCTCGCTTCAACCCTTGTGCCCCTTACTGTATCCAAACTTCTTTCCACCGTGGTGCTCGCCCTTCTTGCCGAAAGCATCATGATGACTGTAATGCTCATCGTGACCATGCTTTCCGTGATGACCCTTGTGCTCCTCATCAAGATGTCCCTTATCGTGATGACCTTTCTTGCCATGATGATCTTCGTGATAATCGGAATGCTGATGGTCACCCTTCTTGTGTCCACTTTCTTTCTTCTCATGGTGTCCGTGAAAGTCTCCATGTTTCTTATGATGTCCTCCTTTATGGTAGTCATCATAAAACTTATGCTCTTTATGATACTCATCTTTGTGAAATTTATTGTGGTATCCTTTAGTCTTGTGGCCCTTCTTGTGTCCTTTCTTCTCACCGAACTTGCCACCCTTGTGTCCCTTCTCGCCCTCGTGATGCTCCCCATATTTTTCGTGCTCATCATGGTGTCCCTTTTTATGGCCACCGTGCTCCTCGTGGTGACCAGAATCATGATGCTTATCGTGCTCGCCTTTGTCATTCTTGTCGTGATGATGATGACTCTTGTAGCCTTTCTCCCCCTTCGCGCCGTGTTCCTCGTGGTGATCAGCGTGATGACTCTCACCACCACCGGACTCGTGATGATGACCGTGATGGCCAGAAGCGGCTACAGCGAGATCGCCTGAGTCGTGATCGACTGAACTCGAAACGAAACTCGCGACAGGGACCGATTGATGATTGTCAGCATCTTCCAGTTGAACGTTCCGCCGATTACGATATGCTGTCAACTTCCGAGCGTAACACGCCTGCTGCAACAGCAGCAAGCAGAGGACAAGGGGACACGCGACTCGTAGCATCTTGATAATCCGATCTCGATGATCTGACTGATGACTAACGTCGCCAGAAGGATACTTAAATATCCATGGTTCGATTGCTTCGTCACGGGGTCGGTGTGGCACCGCTGATTCCGCACTTTCATTCGCAGCGACCGCAAGCCTTCCTCGATACGCTGCGTTCGTCGAGTGGGGAGGACCTTTCACACTTTCTCGCATTCGTAATGAAATGGTCCACGGTTTTTCCACGCGAACAATTCGCGGAAAAGTATGCTTGTAGTTGGTTGATGATGGATTGATAGATGATGCAACTGAACGGTTGAATGTAGACAAGAAACTAGCACCATTTTCACTAGATTTATAGGAAAGAGAGGGAACTATTTGGAAAAGCAAATGAATGGTGTTATCAAATATTTCTTGCCAATATATTAATTGTGACTTTCTTGATAAATGTCATCAACTTCATAAAAAGTGTTCAATTTTTAGTACTTGTGTAGTAATGAATAATTTTGGCTGCTAATTGTTTCTGGCATCAAACTTTAAATTAATAATGTATTTTATAATTTTGCTTTTTATGAAAATATATTTCAACGAAGGAAACATTTAATTAATAACTTGAATAATATAAATATGAAAAGAGAATATCAGAAGAAAAACAGATACGATCATAGTTGTAATTACAAGAATATTTTAAAGAGCATAAATGTTTGTGCTTATCGTTATTGCTGATATTGTTAAATTGTATTTGCATGTTTTGTTGATTATGTAGACAAGTTTTCGTAACACCAATTGTTGCTAGGAGGTATACACCGTTTGACAAGTGGTATTACACTTTTCCATTACGATTAACCCTTTATCCAAGTGGCTTTATTTCCACTATAACGGGAAGGAAAAAAAGAAGATGCATGGTTCTCGTAGCAAAATTTTTATTTATAATGTAATAAAATCTCAATATATACAAAAAATGCTGCTGCTTGGTTCTTGCATTCAACCGTTTAATTCGAATCAATGGTTTTTCAAAGAATTGGCCGGTAAACTAGGGACATCGTTTCAAGAAAAATTATGATAAAGGAACTAATGATTATGATATTATAGACGATATTAATGTGAAAGGATTAAGGGAACGATTATGATTGTTTTGAAAGTTTTGGTACAAAGAAAACTATCAAAATGATTTAAAAGACTATGATGATTTAAAGACCAATGATGACGATTTAAAATTGTGGTTGTTTATGAAAATAATGAAATAAAACTGAAAAGAGCTGTGAATAATTCTTGAAAATTAAAAAAATATAAATACCTATGTTAAATAAATATAACACAAAATATAATATCTATTATTATGAAAGTAAAAAGTACTGTTAAAGATAATTACTGAATTATATCATAAGTTGATTAATTCAATTGATATCGTTATGTTAGAAGGGTCAGATATAAGAGAAAAGGGAGAAAGAATAGGATAAGATGAAATTAAGAAATAAACTACGAATGAAAAAATATGTATAACAAATAATATATATTACACATTTATTTTTGTATTATGTATTGCACGTGTATACAAGCAGACATTCTGAATGGAAAATTAAATTATGAAAGAAAAATACCATTATGCATCGTTCTTAAGAAAATGTATGTATGTATCGTTGCAAAAGATTTTAATCCAATCAAATAGCTATAAAATAATACTATTATTACAACTGTTACTTTTTCATAATTAGTCATAGTCATATTGGAATCAGTATTATTATAAAATATAAAAGTGCAAAAGTATTAAAATCAATCTAAAAATATGTAAAAAGAAAAGAAATAAATACGGTAGCGAAACAGAAGAGAAATGAATGTAGGGTATTACAATTTATACTTTCATCATTATTTATTGTTTTTGAAGTTCTTTAACTTTGATTACAAGGAAAGTACATTTTGTAACTTTACCGTTACTAGTGTTAATAGTAACTATTATCAGTATTATTATATTATTCTGTCCATTACATGCCTCTCGTATCTTATTCGTACAGTTCAATTTCTTTCTCTTTTAAAACACGACAATAAATTTAAATATATAAATGTTATTTATTACTTCTATACGTACTTACCTACTAAACGCTCTGACGTTGACAGTATCTGACAGACTTATAAACTGTTCTCCCTGCTGACTTCTTAATATACAATGTACAGCTCTGTTACAATCAATTACTAATTGTTTCCTAAGAGATCTTGCTAAACATTTTCTAGGAAGTATTTCTCAATGGTTGAATTTTTTAACAAACCATTTACCCGCAATTGGAACCGAAAGACATTTTACTCTTAAACAGCGCAATATTTTCTTGCACATTGTAGAGTTTCTCCACGAAATTAACGGTTCGATCACGACCATCAACGCGTGACCAGGCCAACCGTCCAAAAAGTTCGATAGTTGTAACTTTCTAAATGCAATACCGACGAAATCGATCGGGTTGCATAATTTATAGGTGTTGCCAGCGCATGGTTTGTGAATCGGGATTCGGGCGAGGGCTTTGTTGCAAACGTTTGATAAATAGAAGCTGGTACAAAGGCCTGTGAAACCGATCAATGATCGAGGTGCTCGGCTCACCAGGTGTTCGTACAATGAATTTAATTAACGACACGACGAACGAGCGGTATCTCGATCCACGCTGCAATGATTTTGTTGTCTTAGTGATGGTGCATCGATAAGCTGTCGAATGCCGTCGGTAATCGTATCATAAATTTGAATTTTTCCTTGTGTGCACGCATGTGAATGTGCGGTATTTGTGACGTTGTAAGTAAACTGGGGATTTTCATGTGAATTCAAATTTTTTTGAATATTTTGATTAGCAACGTAAAATTCGATTGCGAGTATGAATATATTTTATTTTTAACAATTTAATGATGATTTATTGAAAATAACAGACATGTTCAACATATCCAAATGCATTTATGTTATAACTCAATAATTAGAAATACAGAATTACAATAAAATATGGTTTTTCCCAACGAAGATTATAAAAAGCACTATACTTTGGATATTTTTCTAAGCGATTTTGTGCTTTGAAGTTCTTCGTGAATGCATAAAAAGCAGTAGTTTAGCTGTAAGGCAAAGGTTAATTTATCGAATTTTCCAATCGTCCGAAACGCGTATATCACAGACGAACGCTGCTCTTTGCTTTCATCGCTTCAGTAACTGTTCCACCATTTGTTACGCTTCTGCTGACGGTTTTATTGGAAGACCTTGCAAAATCTCTGCGCTATTCGATATCTTAAGATATTAACTTCCGGTCAGCGTGTATCTTGGCGGTTACATCTGTGATACGATCACATTCGCCTTTGAACGCTTAAGTGGAAAGTGCTTGATTTATCATCCGGATCCAAAGTTTTCGAGTTCCCGAGTTTCGTTTCGCGCCATATTGGCGACATCTGCGAAGTTTTTACTATGTAACAAGATCCTCAGATGCATTGCGAGAAGTATTGATAAGTGGGAATGTACTGCCGATATTACATAAGGACGTAACAGAATTTTCACCCAGTTACCATTATATGGATAAAGTACATGGATGTATAATACTTGTAAACGGTAACTTTATGAAAAAGATGGCAGTGGAAAATGTTCTACTCTTTTTATAAGTCTTCAATATAATAGTATATGTACATATATTATATGTGCAACATTAAATTTTTCAATGCCTTGCCTTTATCAATAGTTCAAAATAAGGAAAATATGGTGATTATTTGCTTCAACACATGTTGTTCAGATCATGATTCTGAGCAATTTTTTTGCTAACTTATTTAGCGTTCTCCTATTGTTTTTAAGATATTCATTCTAAAGTTTTTATATTCTGCTACTTAAGTTCCAAGATCCGTTATGAATAGGAAGTGATAAAATGATTATTCAGTTGTACGTATATGGCTAATTTTACTTTACTTTACTTTTTCTCGAACTGTATCTCCAGTTCAGAGGTACTCTGTGTATACCTACATAAGCTGTGGTTCAACACACGACCACCAAAAAGCAGTATCCGGATCAATCAGCCGCCTGCAAGCACAGGATTTTAAGAATCGAAGACTCAGCTCTCTGGCCAGGAGAGATTTTGCTCTTGGGATTTTCTTAGCTGAAGTGGATTACCTAAATCCATCAGTGGAACTTGACCGAAGTCAAAAGCGTGGAAAGCGTAGCTTAAAGTGGTAAAGCCACTCTTCAAGTGCCCCAACGATTAGCTTATATTTTCAGCGGAATGGAAGATGAAACCACAGTCAAACGTGGACAAGTAAAATAAATTACACCACCCTTTAATCCGTCGATTCCGTTAGAAATTTCGAAAATTCCTTTAAACCTTCTGACTGTAAGGAATGGAACTTTCCTTTTGAGCCTCTTCAGAATAAATGGATTATTTGAAACCATTAGTGTGGCTTGGTTACTATCGAAAGTCAAAATTACATTGTCACTGTGACTTCAGCTTATTAGGCTAACGCACTGAAGGTTCTTTAACTTTTCTATTCGCGAAAAATTTTTCTCTTCGGCATTTCGTATCTCAATAGATTATCGAAATCTATTATTGATACTTCTTTACAATTGATAAAATAACAGTAACTGTATAAATCAATCGAGTCTATCACAATAGCAGGAGGATATTAGTTACCAATTCTCGACGTCGATCTATTTTGGTTAAACAACCAATCACGTTCTATTCTATCCTATACTATACCACTACTTTTATTAAATTATAATGAGTAGATACAAATTTTGTAACGGTTTAACAAATTAATTAAATTACTTTCATCCTTTCAGTGTTACGGGCGCATATACAATGTTCGGTAACTGGTGGTACAAGCGAAAAGGGGATAATTCTACATGAAAAAATAAGTCGAAAATATCAAATAAGTCGAAAGAATCAAATTTTTTCATATGAGGCTCAGTTTTCGAGAAAATCAACTTTTAATTTTCTCCAGGTACGCGTTTACTTGATCATGTTTCGTTATAACGGATCTCACGGTAGATCATTGTCTCGATGGATCATCGTCGCAGTTTAAGC